TGCTACTGTTATTCAGATCTCTTCAAATATCTTGTGAACAGATTTCATTATTGGATTATATACTTGAGGGTAATTTCCATTTTATGTAGTGCTGACTTTTTTGTTTGAAATTAAACAGAGTGATAACCTAATCTGTGGCCTCCTGATTTATAAGAAAAAAATGTGGATCCATTATATGCAGCCCAAGTTGTCAACATTGTCTTCATTCTTTAAAATTAAAAGCATATGAAAGTCAGTATGTTTGTTTATATATGTTATTTACCTTCAGATCTAAATGGCAATCTGAACCAAAATTTGTACAAAAACTTTTCAGCTGAAAATACTTGATTTTGGGGGGAAGAATTATTGACCAAACACAATTCCAGTCTCTTCTCTTATGCATTCTGTGCATTAGGCACAGTTATGTAGCAGTTAAGTAACGTTGTTAGCTGTTAAAGTGGTGTGTTACAGTACAGACTGCTTGCCTATTCCCTGTTTTCTCCTGATTGTTCTTGTGAAAAGATACCTTTCTGCCTAGCAAGCATGAGGTCCTGAGTTCAAACCCCAGTACTGCAAAAAAAAAGATGCCTTTCTGTGTAGAAACAAATTGTCCAGTTTATTGAAATCCTTGACAACTACACTTCCAGTCACCCAGAACTTTTAGGTGAACAGTGAAGCACACAGTGAGGACATCTAGCTGATGATAAATACATTTCTCTAGCCTCCCCCAAATGGTAAATCTGATGATACTTGTGTATAAACTTAAAATATGGAAAATGTTAAGGAAGCAAATGATTTGTAATTTTTCAAACACTTAAAACATTGTGAATGCTTTTGCTTATGATTGATCTGTTCTATAACCATTATTTCTGGAAGCTAATTAAAATGTTCTCTTGGTTTTAGCTTTTCTCAAAAAAAAAACACTTGTAAGAAAACTCTCCACTTGTGTTCTATTTCTCTCCACATTTTGAATATTTTATATCCCATTTTATATATTCTTACGTTGCTTATTGCTTAACAAGGCAGTTATTATTGTTATTTTTATTGGCTTTTTAGTGTTCATACTAAAGATTTTAATAGTGTATGCACCACATTTCCAATACTAGAACATTCTGAATTTTTTGTGTAATTTCTTTTATCTGTAAGTTTTATACCTTCCTATGTTTTCTTTTCACTCTCTACCTTTAACTTTCTTTGGCATTTTTTATAGAACAAGTCTGGTACAGATATATTCTCTCAGCTTTTGTTTTTCTGGGAAAATATTTACCCATTCTTCATTTTTAAAGGATAGTTTTGCTGGGTACCTTATTCTTGGTTGAGATTATTTTCCCCTTTGGTACTGTTAAAATCTTATGCCTCTTTCTCTTTTTGTTTGATTTTTAAAATTGCTTCCATTTTTTTTTGAGACAGGGTCTCATTATGTAGCCCAGGCTGGCTTTGAACTTGTGACACTCTGGTTAGCTTCCAGAGTTCTGGGGTTATAAATATATGCCACCTTGCCAGGAAATTGCTTCCATTTCTTTGTGAAGTTTTTTTGTTAGAGTACTGAAATGTTTCTATGTGTTTTCTTCAAGTTTGTTGAGTTTCTTTAAACTAGCTGCTTTAAATTATCTGTGATTTCTCCCACATTGATTTCTTTCTGGTCACTTTCAGGCACTTTATTTTGAGTACTATGTGAGGCCATGATTTCTTGAAAACTTTTGATATTTGATATATGACATCATCAGGGCATTTAAGAATTGGGTATTTCTTCCAGCCACCCTAATCTGATGTTGTTTGTCCCTATCTTTCCAGAAAGTCTAGGTAGGTTACTTATTTTCCCTGAGTCTGAAGTCACCTCCCCTATGTCAACACTAGATGGTGCCTAGTTCTAGAAATTGCAGGAGACTGCTGTAGGTGTGTGAACACTGTGTCAGTATTAGAGGGCAATCCAAGCCCAGTTTCTTCCCAAATACTATACTATTGCATTGTTCCTAAAAAACCAGAAAGGTATCTAGAGAAAGTAGTCTGTATCCACAAGCTTCTCCCTGGGACCAGGGTAGTCCCAGGTGTCTTGTTTACTGTTACTGACATATAGTCAGACACTGCAGGATTCTCCCAGCTTCAAGTAGAGTCACCATGGGATGTGAGGAATACTTAGGGTCAGATATCATACTGATGGCTACTAAAGCTACCAAGCCATTTCACATCTGAGACCACAGTTTATAAGACCAGCACAACACTGGATCAAGACCAAGGTCTACACATCTTTGGGCTGCCTATTGCCAAATTAGATTTGGGATCCAAGATTTCTGCAATCAGCCCCAGATGATGCTGCCTGTAATATAAGTTTGATAGATGGGGGCCATGTGTATTCTAGCATTAGAGCTATTCCAGAGGTTCTGTCCACAGGGAGGCCTGGAAATGGAGGACAACAGGACATACCCAGTGTTGGTTTCACCAGCCTAAGTTCCAGGACAAATTCAAATGCTTATGAACCTTCCCCTCTCCCAGTAAGTGGGGTTTTCACTACACTGTGCTGTCTAAGTTTAGGATAGTGTTCATGAAGGCAGACCCATGGCCACATGGGTTTATGCTAAGCTTTTTTTGTGTATGAGTCTCATAGCTACAAGGCCCTGCATTGTCTTAGTGGTACACCAAGGCCCACACCATATCTTTCAGTGATGCATGTATAAACATAAGAATGTCCCTCTGGGGCTCAGTAGTCTGCTTGGTGCCAGGGGTGTCTTAGAGCCCCATTTGTAAGCACTGATGATAGTTCTGCTGCTATGGTCTGGGGGATGGATTGAGATGACAGTCCTTTGACCATCAAAACTTGCCCTAAGCTGGGTCACAACTGAGTCTTATAGCTGCAATGACCTGGACAGTCTTAGGAGGAGGGAAGGTGTTGGAACTGATGTCGTCAAAACTCTGTTCTGTCCTGTAGTGTACAAGTCTCCATCTGATGTTGGAGCCACTTTGGAGGCTCCATCTGTGGGCTCAGTCTTATATGGGCCTCACAGTGTCTACTGAATTATTGGTCCCACCATGGCAGGCCTTGCTTGTACTGGGCTCTGAGACAATGTTCATAGCTAGTTTTTATGCCCTGCTCTACCCCCAGGGGATAGAGTCCTGTTATGTCACCAAATGTTGGGGAAGGGATCTGTTTGCTGCCTGACCTAACACAATTCCATAGGCTTAGTGTGCAGGTATTGGGTTGGTGGTAGGAGTCATGGGGCTTTACTCAATGCTGGGTTTCACCTTGGTGAGCTTTGTACTGGGTTATAAATCTAAGACCAGGACCTAATTCTCTCTCCACCTCCCATATAGGATGTGCCCCTCTCTCACCAGGCTAGAGTTGAGGGAGAAACTCCTTCCCCCTGTCGTCTTCAATGTGTCATTTTATTTTTTAGCAATAAAATCAGGCGCTGTGGTTTCTCACCTGATTTTCTTAGCTCTTGTGCTTGTTGTTTGTTGCATGAATAGCTATTCAACTTGGTGTTTCTGTGAGAACTTGCCAGATCTTACTCAGCTGCCATCTTGCTCCCTCCCATCTTGTGGGAGGTCTTTAGGTTACTGGGGGCATGAACTTAAAGGGGATCATGGGACCACAGCTCACACTTTAATCTCTTTTATTTCCTGGCTATGAGATGAGTAATTTGTCTCTGTCACATGTTTTGATGTGCTGCCTTTCCACAGTCCAAAATGCAATCAATCATGAACTGAATCCTTCAAAACTATGAGCCAAAATGAGTCTTTTCTCTTTATAAGTTGCTTATCTCAGATATTTTGTTATGGTAGTTGAAAGGAGACTAACAAATATAGCTTCTCCAAAAGAGTGGCAAAAGAAAATTCAAATAGCCAAAAGATGGAAAGAACACAGATATTCATCATTAGTAGGATTAATAAATTGTCTTAGATAATGGTAAAGTACACACTAAGGAAAAAATAAATTTCTGCTACCTATAACATGAATAAATCCCACATATATAATGTTGAGTAAGGAAGTCATTACATATGCACTATAAAATTTTAATTTATGTAAGTCAATAACAGGGAGAAACTAACACATGGAGATATAGGTGTTAACAATGCTTACCCTTAGTGGTTGAGTATTGAGTGGAAAGATAGAACAGGAAGCCTTCTGAGGTACAGAAAAGGGTCTACCTGGATGCCTGCATACATTGAAATTTCAGATGCAAAATATTCTCTTGATCAAACTTCTAAGTTATCTTTTTCTTTGCAGTTCTGAGTTTTGAGCTTAGGGCCTAGTGTTTGCTAGGCAGAAACTTCACCATTTGAATCACCTTCAGCCCTTGTTGCTCTGGTTAGTTTGGTGATAGGGTTTCGCTTTTTGCCTAGACGGTGTGGAGTGTGAACTTCCTCAAAAGTGAATATGGTATCACTCAAAGTTTCACTAGTTCACAAGTTAGCCTGGTTCACAGTAGTAGTGATAGAAATAAAAAACAGAGTTATAAGACATTTAGAAGCTAACACCCACATGACTTTCTGATAGATTATATATTTCAAAGAAAAAGGAGATGCCAAGAATACCACGTAGGCATTTGGCTCTTATCCACTGTCCATCTCACACCTTAAGGTATACTTACGCTTTGCTAATAAATCTCCCTTTACTATTTTTTAAAAAGCATTTTTTGAGAGTGTCTTGCTATGTAGCTCAGGCAGGCCACAAATTCATTGTGCAGCCAAGGATAGCTTCAAACTCATGAGTGCTAGGATTAGAAGCATATGCCAGTATGCCCAGTTTTGGACTTCAACATCTTTAATAAGAGGGTGTATGTTTTTCTTTCTTGACATAGCACTGAAAAAGCAAACTGTGGTGGAGAGTAAAGTCATGTTTGGTTTTGAACATATTTCATTTGAAGGTATTTTTTTAAATATCCAAAAGGAGATCTCAACAGTGCCCTTGGACATCCAGCTACAGATCTTGGAGAAGGAATAAGAATTGAGGATATAAATCTATGTCAAATGGTAGCTTAACATAGCAGTAAAGTATGTTAGCTTAAAGAGATCCTTCTTACCCAAGCCATGAACCCTTCTCTGGCACAGCCTGTATCTACTCCTAACACCTTCCTGGGGAAAACTTGGAAGGTTATCCCAGTTTTAGACCTCTAAAACTCCGGCCTATGTTGAGATGGTCCTCACAGCCTAACTTCTCACTTTGCTTCTCTCCTTACAATGATACTAATCTCTAATAAACTTCTTGCATATCAAAGTCCATCCCAGGGAATATAACCTATGACACTGAGTCTTATTTATATTCAGTGGTGATGAATATGAGAAGCCAGACTGCAAAGGGTAAGAAATGAATGGCTAAGTGACAAAACATAGTAAGCAGCAACTCTTTCAAGTAAGTCTGTGTTCACAGACAAGAAGATGACAAAACCAAGACAACATTAAGGGCGCACCACTTAATATCCTCTTTAGTATGGGAAATATTTGACTGAAAGATAAAAGCTAATTATAGATACAAAATTCCATATAATTAAAGTGAGCCTTTGACAGAGTGAACAGAAGTTAGAAATTATCTTTTTGTTAACATATCAGGACGTAAAGTTCTTCGATCAGTATTAATTCACTAAGGAGTTAGTAATTACATTTGGGTTTTTTGTGGATATGGGATTGGAACTCAGGGCTTCCTGCTTGCTAGGCAGGTGCTCCACTACTTAAGCCACACCTCCAGCCCCTGCGTTTTCACAAGACAAAAACGAACTTTCAAGTTGGCTACTTTGTATTAGTCTCCTAAATTTTAACAGTGTAATGTCTCCACAGATATCACCTATACCAAACAAAATTGGATTTCGAAACAACTCAGCCCACACATTTCCAACCCCAGCCGAACATGAATTTCCACCCCTAACCAGGGACTGAAGCCAATTTTTAGAGAATAACTGCAGGATTCTGGCGCCTTCTAACAAGTCGGTCTCTGGAGAGTCAAATAATAGTGTTAAAATTAAGTTTACACAGGGAACAAAACTTTTTGAAATGCACTGGGCGTATGACAATAAGGGAGAGTTTTAACTGAAGCATGAGCTTGGATACGTTGGAAGGGGTTAAGTGTAGAGGCACAGTTTCAGGGAAGAGAAAATTAGCGAGTTACTTCCGAAGAATCAGCACTACAGTGTTAGCAACAGACAGGCAGCTAAAGCTTTCTGGCGCCACAAGTGTATGTCATCTACAAAAATCCCGCTAACGTCTACTGTGACACAGGCGGGAGAGAACATTTTACACCACCGGCGCGCAGAAATAAGCAGAAAATTTGCGATTGACCCCGGAAACATTTTATTTTGCGTAGACGTCCGGAGAATTTTCTTTTAGGATTTGTTCCTTGATCCGGAAGAAGAGACTGCAAACTTCACTTTCGATTGGCTCTCATCCTAAGGGCGGGGCTCTAACAAACCAATCACCTTGATAACCGGACGTGACGACACCGGAAGCCGCCGGACTGAGCTATGCTCGGGCTAGGCGCTTGGGCGTGGCGGGGTGAGCAGCATCAGTCTGAATGTTTATCCTTGCTGCTGACGTGACCCTGCAGGGGGCGGTGCCATTAAAGCCCCGCCTCCCGCGCTCGCTCGGGCTGGCGCTGGAACGACCACGTAGCTCTGAGGGGCGGAGATCCGGTCGGATTTTGTCCCTGCGTGGGACAGGGAGGGCGCCGTCCTCCCCAGGAGTCTTCCGGTTTCTGTGAGGCTGAGCCACCTCCCCTCAGATTCCTGGGGATACGCCCTCTTCCCAGCCCCCGTCACCCTGCGTTCATCACCGAGCCCCTTGGAGTCGCTGTGGGGTAACAGCCACCCAACGTCCTTTCGTTTTAGTTCTCGCTCCGTTGGGAACCTCGGTCCCCATTTGAGCTGTCCCTTCCCAACCTTCTAAAATGTCCAATAATCTCCAGAAGGTCTTCCTGAATCCCGCAGAGGAAAATTCAGGCACCACCTCGCACTGGTAAGTACGAGTTTCGGATCCTCCAAGCGCCCGAATCCTAGCCGTTTTCCCGACGCTCCGTGATTTCAAAGGAGGCGGACCCCGCACCGACGCGGGAGCGCGCCCCTCCCCTCCTCTCCCGTCCCGTCCCGACCCGTCCCGACCCGTCCCGTCCCGTCCGGACGTGCTTGGCCGCCCTAGCGCCCGCCCGACCCGGCCTGGCCCCGCAGGACGCCAGCGTCTCAAGTTTCCTAGGCCGACAGAGTAGATCTCCACGGGCGAGGAAAAGCAACATGGCCGACGCGCCGGGCGATGAAAGCTTCTGGAAGATTCGCGGGCGCAGGCAGCAAAAACACGCCACGCGGACCGTAGCAAGTGCATTCCCGGGGGTGCCGGACCTTCCGTGAAAAGAGTCACTTTTCCATAGTCAGTAGGAAGGATGTAAGGTGGAAGAAAACGCTTAAAGTTTTTAAATAGTAGCTGTGTAGGAAGAGAGGGAAAAGTAAAGAGAGAAAATCACCTGTCGGCATTTTTTGAAGCAGTTGCAATGAGTGCCATCTCATTGGATGTCTAGATAGAGAAACGAGGTTTCACGTGAAAATGCAATTTTTAAATTTTTTTCCAAGACGGCTTCCTCTGTAGCCCAGGTTGGCCTCGAACTCGGGATTCTTCTGCTTCTGTCTTTCCCCGCCCTCCCCACCCAGTGCCGGGATTGCAGGCATGCACCACTGCACCTGGCTGCAGTATTTTTCAGAAAGATGTTCTTCCTTATCAATTCAGAAAATAGATTTTTAATAACTCAGGTGATTTTTAAAACTTTCATTAAGATGAAACAGGAACCATGAAGTTTTAACTTCTTTCCGCTGTTAGTGTATTACATGTCCTGAGAAAAAGTTTAGTTAATAGGTTTGCAGAAGTACGAAGAGCAGAGCATGGAAACTAAGATGCAAAATTCATGAAAGGGGGTTTGTCTTTGAAGAATATCAGGCTACCTGGTGTTAATCACAGCTTTGCTGGTTAGTCCAGAACAAACAAGGTGGTTTATTTTCATTACAATTAAATGACCTGATTGTAATGAAAAAGTGTTGGTGATTTTTTTTGTTTTTACATGAGGGTCTTGCTGTGTTACCCAGGCTGGCCTGGAACTTATGGGCACAAGTGATCCTCCTGCCTCGGCTTCCCCAGTAACTGGGACTGTCGGCACTTGCCAGTATGATTGTGATGATAGTCCTTTAAAGCACACACAGAAAGGCTGTAAAAAGCAATATAAAAGCACTGCCCAGGGAAAAAGCATTGTATCGCAAATCAGAAGAAGAGCCAGCTCTTGTGTACATATGTGTTTTTTTCTTTTTTTTTAACTTTGTAGAAGTTTGGGGAAAGAGGCAATGGTGCCTTGAATATGGATTCAAAAATAGAAATTACTACAAAAAGCAGGGCTGGCGTAGTGACTCAAGTGGTAGAGTGCCTGCCCCGTAAGGGTGAGGCCCTGAGTTCAAACCCCAGTACTGCCAAAAGAAAAAAAACAAGGTGGATGAAAAATAGAAATTACTTTTGAATGATTGTTTAATTCCTCTATATTATTTTAGAACCTTGATATTTGATGACTTTTTCACTTACCGTAACTTAAAGGCAGTTCATTTTAGGATTGCGTTATTTTTCGATGTCAGAAATAAGAGATATTTTAAAAGGTACTTATTACATACTTGACCTCCATCCATTTTACCTTTTTTCGATTTTGTACTTTTAAAAAAAATATTAAAAATTGAATTATGTTTTGATTACATTCACATTATTTTAAGTTCAGTAGCTCATTGGTTTATGCATTATTGCTTTCGTTGTATCTTTTTAAATCACTTAAGTTTTACATAACTTACTGGAGCATATGCCAGGTGTCTTTCTGAGACTGTTTGAACCTTTATGTGTCGAGTTACTTGTTTCTATTCTTGTTTCTTAAATAATAACATGCATGATGCCTAAATATAATTATGTGAGTAATATAATTAGTATCACTTATTTTGGTTGATTGGAAGTTTAATTTTCTTATTTTTCTGATATGTTTTTGATGGTACAAATCACTTATTTTCTTCATAAAGTGACTGATTTAATCCTCTGTAGATGTTTGAGTTTTTCTTGAGTTTCTTTTTTAACAAATTTCAGTAATGTGATATACCATATTTATTGTTTGAAGCATCTAATTCATTTAGGCATAAAATGGAAAATTCCAGCTTAACCTTATAAATCCAGAGGAAAGATATGGAAGCTATTATAGTACCATATAATTTATTCCGTTTGCACTGAGTGCCTACCATGGATGTGATAGATTGTGCTAAATGCAGAGACTAAAGAATAGTATTTTGCCCATTCCCATGAAAACTTTATAGTTTGGTGTTGGAGTTGAGAGGGAGCTGATGTGATAAATTCCATGTTCGCGTTATGCACAAGATGCTGCGAGCATAGAGGAAGGGAGTTGCAGGAAAGGTTTCAAGAGCAACTTGAGTTAGGAAGCACAATTATCCATTACCTGTTAAAGATGAATGCCAGATATGCCCAGTCGGGGAACTGGTAAAAAAGGAGTAGTATGGTTTATTACTAACAGTTGGAGTTTGCTTGATTCTGTACTATAGGCAGGATAAGTTAATAACTTAATAAAGTTGGTTTGTCCTGCTAGTAGACTTCATTTATTGGAGATTGTTCAAAAGGTTTTAAGAAAAGGACTGACATGGTTAGGTGCATATTTTGGATAACTGATGGCAGTGTGGAGGGGGTTGCGGGGTTGGCAGCATCTACATGTAAGAATTCTATTTCAGATGTCTTTTCATTTAGAGATGTAAGGTAGGAGTTAGATTCAAAGAAATAGAATGGAAAATAGGTGAATATTGTTAGCAAATTGCTGTGAAGAAAGGGGGGTAATCCAGTTTTCAGAGTTGATACTGGTAAATGAACTGAGATAAGGAACACACTAAGAAAACAATCAGAAGGATATTTGAATCTGAAATTCAGTATCAGAGCTGAAAATAGAAACCTAGGAGCCATCAGTTTGAGATATTATAACAAAAGCCTGTGATTATACATACCATAATAATAGGAATCAGGGTACCATGTGACAGGCATTGGATTTCTTTATTCTAAAATGTTCAGCTGAAACTAAAATGTTCGACTAAACTGGGTGCCTGTGGCTCACGCCTGTGATCCTAGGTACGCAGGAGACAAAGATCAGGAAGATCATGGTTCAAGACCAGTCCCGAACAAATAGTCCATGAGCCCCCCCCCCACCCCCCGCCAAATCTCGAAACAGGACTGGCAGAGTGACTTTAAGTGGTAGAGTGCCTGCCTTGCAGGCTTCAGCCTGGGTTCAAACTCTAGTACCACCAAAAAAAAAGTTCACCTAAAATAATGTCCTTAGCAGGTGGCTTGGTTTGACTAAAAGGTAATGTTTCATTGTCATTCAGTGTAATTTACTTACTTCGTTTACTTAGCAATACTAGAGATTGTCTCAAAAGGGCCTAAGCAATCTACCGCTTGAGACACATGCCAAGCCCACAGTGTACACTTTGTTGTGCAAGGTTTCTTATCTTACGATTTCTGTGAGGGTGATAAAGAGTGGGAGCGACAGATGAACATTATATATGCTAACTGAAATCTGTTATTAATCTGTCAGTTCATGCATTTGAAATTTTGGACCCAGTTTTGATGTATTTATACTAAAGTAAATGCAGAAAATGGATAGAATTGCTTAAGAAAAGCATGTAATTCTGCATAAGTTACTTGATATTTCTAACCTCCCGTTTTCTCAACTATAAAATGTTCATGGCAGTACTCATCGCACCACTAGGGTTAGAGTTAATGACAATTATTATAATGTCTGTCATGTACAGAATATATGGAATATACTGCTGTGTATATTATAACATCAGGTATTTACATGTATTATGTACATAAGATGAAAAAGAGTCTCCTATCAGTTGAAATAAAATTTGCAAAACTATATGTAAAATGTTCATAAGCCTCTAAAGTTTTTTATCATTCCATTTCCTAATATGTAGATGTTTCATATCAATATTAGAATAGAAAAAAAGTCATAAGTTATATAATTTTGTCAGTATGTTTAGTGGGTTTTTGTTTGTTTGTTTGAGACATGGGGTTTCTCTGTGTTGACCAGGCTGGTTGTGGACCACCTGGGCTCAATTGACCCTCCTACCTTAGTCTCCCCAAGTATCTCGGACTATAGGTGCACAACAGTGCACCTAGCTTAATAGTCCTTTTTGTTAAAGTTCTCATCACATTTTAAAATAGTGTACCTGATTCAGTTCCTTGCTCTTGGAGGTAATCATCGTGCTCCTAGGCAGTTCATTCTTTTCATAACTAGCCTTACTTTGTCCATTTAACAAACAAACAGATTAAAAGAGATTAAGTAGATTTTCCACTATCAGTCAACTAGAAAGTACAAGAGTCAGAATCAGAAGTCAGTCATCTTTCTAATATATTTCTCTTTTAAAATCTTAAAGTGATTATTTTTCCAATGTAGCGTCTCAATTCAGTTACCTGTTGCTTTAAAGTAGTTGGCATGTTGATGATGATTCTTTTTAAGGACCAAATCAGAGCATGGGATACAAAATCTGATTCTAATTTTAGTTCTGACATTAGCCAGTAGAATGTGATCTTTAGGAAAAAAGAATCTTTGCTGGGCACAAGTGGTTCACATTTATAATCCTAGCAACTCAGAAGGCAGAGATCAGGAAATTGCGTTTAGAAGCCAGCATGGGCAAATAGTTCACGAGACCCATCTCAAAAAACCCAACACAAAAGAGGGCTGGTGGGGTGGCTCAAGTGGTAGAGCACCTGCCTAGGAAGTGTGAGGCCCTGAGTTCAGACCCCAGTACCACAAAAGAAAAAGAAAAAAAAAAGCAAAAAGAATCTTTGTAGAATTTTAGTTTATTTTTTAAATTGAAGGTTCCTTTTAAATCTGAAAAAAATACACATTGATTTGTATTTCATTCTGATTTATCACTTCTCTCCTTAGC